CTTTATTAATCTCCTAAAATGTTATTGTGCAGTAATATAGTATTTGTTAGGTTAATGAAATAGTAAAATTAATATGGAAAACTACTAATTATTTAAGATGTTTCAACAATCATGAATAATTGGTTTCAAGAGTAATAGTAATCTATTAATATTTAACCCATTGTATATAAAGAAGGTTTAATTAAAACAACAAATATAATATACTAGCTGTAACCCACGGGCTTTGCCCCGTTTAACTTCTTAATTTTCAAGATTATCTCGTTCGCATGGCTCAATCACGTCCTTGTTGAAGTTTGTTCGCTACGCTCACTCACCTTTAGGTTGGAGCTCGTTCGCTACGCTCACTCACCTTTAGGTTGGAGCTCATTCGCTGCGCTCACTTGCCTTCAGTTTAGCTCGTTCGCTGCGCTCACTTGCCTTCAGTTTAGCTCGTTCGCTTCGCTAACTCGCCTCCAGGTTGAAGTTCGTTCGCTACGCTCACTCACCTTTTGGTTGCAAATTAGCTGTTGTCATAAATGTAAAAGAAATAATAGTGCTGCACCCTGTTGGTAATCCTTGTAACTTTAATGCTATTGAACATCATAGAACAGGACCAACTTGTTTAATTGAAACAGCTGTTAAGATTCAATAATTCCATTTCTCATTAGGTTAATATGGGAAACTCCAGAGCCACTGGGGCGGAGCCCGAAAGGATTTTTGAAATAAGAATATGCCTATATGTTAATCGGGAATGTCAGCTATCATCATGCCAAATTTCAGCCCAATCCGACCAGTATTTTTCGCGTTCACTTGTCACAAACATACATCCATACATCCATATATCCATACATCCAAACTTTCTCATTTATAATATTAGTAGGATACAGGGTGTTCATTTGAAAACTTTCCATATCTGTTGTGTGCAAAGGTAAGGCTTTTAACACTTATTTGTTCTCATTTCCCCCTAATTTGGACATGCCAAATCCAATAAAATTATTTTCAATTTTGAAAAATGCCCCAAAAGGGCCCAATTTGGGGGGTAGGGGTGCTTTTTGAGAAATTTTCAAATGTAAACATGGGTTGTGTGATACATCAATTTAAAGGTCTAATCACCCCGATCATTTTGGTGCAAAAAAAGTTTAATTATCTTTAACCGTATTTACAGGGTGGGTCAAAACGTTTTAAAAAAGGACTTTGAAGTTAAGTACCGTATTACCCTAACTACTGAACGGAACAGCGCCAAATTTCTTTCCAAGCTTATTCTTGAGCTACTCTTTAAGATAACTTGTAGTAAGGGCATTTTCAAAGTTATTTTCCAATTTTAAAAAAATCTCAAATTTTAAGAATAAAAGAAAGCTGAAAACTCACAATTCTTAAATAGCAATGTATAACAAATTTCATACCACAAAAAAGTTCCTTTTTTAACAAACATTTTACGTATTTAAGTTTTCTTTCTATCTCTTACCGTTTAAAAATTGCATCGGAAAAACATAATTTTCAATGGTAAAATTATAACTAGTTTTCTAATAAAACACATTGCACTTTGTTCAACGATGTAGTAGGATTCATAACAAATTGATCGACTACTTTTACGTGTGTCAGAATTCATCTTGGACCCTTCATCCTGTTCTTTTCTCATTGGTAACTGAGCCAGTTTCAGAAAACTTCCTAACTAAATCATTTATAGCCATATGACTCAAGGTTATACCTGGATATCTATTGTTAAACACTTTGCAGTTATCCTGGAACACTTTTGTTATGACCAATAAGTAAAATAAAGTCTATTTTTTTAAGTTTACACCATATTTGATTAGGTACTACAGGAAATGGTACTTTTGAAATTAGTACTACCATTGACTAGTCAATGGTACTACAGAAAGCTGGCCACGCTTGGGGTTTTCTCATCAGCTATAAAACTTGTTTTTCTCAAAGTAAAACGTAATGACTTGTTTGCCTATCTGCCTAAAAATAATTATGAATTGTTTCCTTCAGTTATTGTACCATTTAATGTGTCTAGAGACGAATTTTGGCTGTTTTATTAGAAAACTAGTTACAATTTTACCATAGAAAATTATGTTTTTCTACTGCAATTTTTAAACGGTAAGAGATAGAAAGAAAACTTAAATACGTAAAATGTTTGTTAAAAAAGGACCTTTCACGTGGTATGAAATTTGTTATACCTTGCTATTTAAGAATTTTGAGTTTTCAGCTTTCTTTTATTCTTAAAATTTGAGATTTTTTTAAAATTAGAAAATAACTTGGAAAATGCCCTTACTACAAGTTATCTTAAAGAGTAGCTCAAGAATAAGCTTGGAAAGAAATTTGGCGCTGTTCCGTTCAGTAGTTAGGGTAATACGGTACTTAACTTCAAAGTCCTTTTTTAAAACGTTTTGACCCACCCTGTAAATACGGTTAAAGATAATTAAACTTTTTTGCACCAAAATGATCGGGGTGATTAGACCTTTAAATTGATGTATCACACAACCCATGTTTACATTTGAAAATTTCTCAAAAAGCACCCCTACCCCCCAAATTGGGCCCTTTTGGGGCATTTTTCAAAATTGAAAATAATTTTATTGGATTTGGCATGTCCAAATTAGGGGGAAATGAGAACAAACAAGTGTTAAAAGCCTTACCTTTGCACACAACAGATATGGAAAGTTTTCAAATGAACACCCAGTATACTTTTATTACCTTAAACAACATTATGTTATTATTATACAATATTTAAATATTTACATTCAATATAATACACAAAAACAATATTCTATTTACAATATATATACATATTATAGTTATACTTCATTTTGTATTATCCATTGCTTCATTAAATTGACATTCTCAAAAGAACATGTCTTATGTGGTTTATTATGAATACATGTTGTTGATGGATTATATGTAGTTTTTAATACATTTAAAGATGGGCAACTGTAGTCTTCTATATTTAAAATCCTCTTGTCATTAATAAAGTTTTCAACAATTGTCTGTTTTTCTAGTCCTTAAACAAATATTTCTTCAAAATCATTGGTACAGATTTCAAATATTCTTCTTATTTCTTTATAATTTATGTAACCATCCTTCCAGTTATATCCATGATGTTTATTTTCAAGCCAGTTTGCAACTTTTTGTTGGTCTTTAGACAATTCAAAGTAATTATAAGGTGGTTTAAATGTAAAATTTTGAATAGTTATTGATGTAAATGATAGAAATACAATTTCATTTATAACAAAATCATTAAATTTACCTCTAAACCCTTGAAGATCAACAATAACTGACTTGGAGTACATTCTGTTTACTAAATGTATAAAAGTGTTGGTTGTTCTTTCATAGTCAGCAACATGAGATATAGGATGTACCTAAATGTACACTATATGATAACATTTGAAGTATAACCTCTATAATGGTTTATTCACCTTTATATCTCTTCATCTTGTTTCTTGGTGGTCCATTGTCAATAGGATTTCCAGGTCCTAGGTAATTGAAGCTGGGTATAGGGAGTCCTGCAGACGGCCGAAGTCCAGGATCCTTTATTGAAACACCTGGTGATAGGAGTTCATCTTCCTTCCCTCTTCTTTGAATGAAGTTGAGGACGATCCATAAACCACGGTGTTTCTTTCTTCTAGATCACTGTTCTCTCTAACATGTTTAACACTAAGCACAAGTAATAATGTCTGATATCTCTCTGCCTTATCCCCTAGACCAACACTTACATGTCTTTTATTCTACATCTGGCCTTTTACGTGATCATCTGAAGGCCTGTGTATACACAATATTTAGTAGTGATATACCTTGGACAGAAGAGCATTAGAACAGGTAATTGTATTATGTCATCAAACGTGACTTTAGATTAAACAAAAGGTGATTGCTTTACACTTTAAAAACATGTTATATTATCACAAAAAACGGTCAATCTAGCATCTTTTTGGTAGTTGTAGCAGAAAAAACAATCAATCTAGCATCTTTTTAGTAGTTTTAGAACCTTACCTAATCAGTCAATCTATTAATCAGTAATCAGTGTATCTATCAATCAGATAAAACCAATAACAAACAGTAAATTCACCCGATCAACTCTTAAAGCCACTAATCCCATACTAGTAGTGTGTGTGTGTGTGGACACCGCATCCACTCCACGGAGGGAAGAAGGGTTTGCGAAGAAGGGGAAGCGTAATCAAAACTTATGTAATAGTTATTGAACTTTCTCAAAAATCACAAATTCAAACTTCCGTTACAGAATAAGGGATTATAAAGATGTTTTATCTTAATTACTCTTTACTACTATTATTGTAAATTTAACAGGGATTCTAAAAATGACAATAAAAACAATTTTTAGAGCAGTCTAGGCAGTTTTATCAATACTGTACAAATATTTAAAAAAATTGTAACTTGTCTGTTATTCCCTACCTGCAAGGGTATGTAAACCAAAAAAAATGTGCCATTTTGTCACCAATACTTAGTAGTTTAACACATACAATTTTATAACACTAATGTTCCACCCTGTATAACCTGACACCATAACATAAATGAGAAGAACCCTTTAGTCAACATCAGAACACTCTATACGTTACTAACATAAACCACTCATCAAATTGGCATAAAATATTACAATAGGATGCAATGTCTGCTTGTGCTATTCAAAGTCATGGGTTATAATATGGCAAGAGTGCCAGATACATTCAAACACATGGGGTACAATATCGCTTCTGTGAATATACAAGATTTCTTTAGTTGTAATACTCAAATATTTGAAGTTGTCTGTAAATATTTTGTTGTGACTGTGAGTGTTGACCTGTTTGGATCAAAATAGATACATGCAACACCAAAGGGTGCAATACCATTTAAAATATCCCTATGAAGTTCAAACTATGGTCCCAATGGAATCAATCAGAATTGATGACAGATTTGGGTAAGTCCTATTCTTCTATAGTTTATCTTAAGTAATTCTCTTGAGCATAAATGACACCAAACTTAACAACAATTTTTATTTAAGAGCGTTGCTGGTAATAAAAGTTACTGATTATTACCTTATCTTTTTTCCCAATATATGCTGTGTCGTTTGCTATAAGGCAGTGAAAATCCGTGATGACTCCATTGTGGCTATACCAAGTACAAGTGAGTCCATGGAAATCACGGCGAGTGATGGCAATCTCTTGCACAGCTACATTGCTCTGAAAACACCACAGTATTGAAACCATTTTTTTCAAGTGATCTTTAAAAACAAGTTAGGTTTACAAATGAGATTGTTATACCTTGTGTGCTTGGAATGCAGGAGTGAACTGAGTGATGGTCTCTACAGCAGACACAAGACGGGTGCAGGCATTGAAGCTGTGTTGGGCCTCAGTCAGCACTCCTCTAGGTTGTCTCATCACTGCATTCACCACCTCTACCAGTAAGTCTCCTAGCTACAACACGATACCACTACTGATTAAATCAAAATTCTAATTTACCTATTTTAAAGCATGATCAAGTTTGTACTGTAGTAACAAAATATTTTGGTATCAATATATGAGGCGTTCCATTCCAAAACTCACTTATTGCAGTTTAGAAATCTTTGCACAAACTAAAAAAAAACATTCTTGATTGTAATTATCTGTTTTTCAGTTGTTATGGGATTACCTTGTTGGCAAATTATCTCTGGAACCTCTTGAAATATTTATTTTCTATTTCCAATCAGCCGTTTTCCTAAAATTGAGCTTCAAATTCTGTAAGAAGCAAGTTTTGTCATGACCTTTAAGAGTGAGTTTTAGCATGATACAATTGTATTGAGTGAGATTAGATATGACATTCTCTGACAGTAGTGTCACGTGACAATTTGAAGCAACATTATTGGCCAGACGGAAAGAGAGAGTTTTGGAAAGACTATATTATTTAGAAAATAAAATTTAGTAAAGTACACATAATCTGACTGTGTAAATATCCGATTATAAAACAAAACATAACTAGTGACAATCATGAGATTACCTCTTGTTCACGAGGCACGTGGCTTAGGTAGTTGTCTACGGTCGTTGCAATGAAAGCTATATCCACTTTATCTACAAACTGACGAGTTTCGTCACACGTGAAGTTGTGGAACCGACGGAGGCTTTCAATGACACTTCCCTCGCTTGAGTTTAAATTCATCTACGGATAAAAATTCTTGTTAAATAACATAAAACCAACTAAAAAGCATAATACATTCATAGTGTGTCACCACATGTTACAATGTCCAAATGGTTAATAGTACACCAACTATAAAGGACTTGTTTGGTACAATGAAATAATTTTTGACGACTATTTTAACAGAAAGTATGACGACTAGGTTATTATCATTGGTGGAGGGGGAAGACCCAAAGTCAATAGTGCAGAGTTAAATGTGCTCTCTGGTTTTTAAAAGTTTTTTACAAGAAATAATAATTTGTTTACTTACAATTGTCTACAGCTGTGTGAGTTATATTTCAGTGCACGATTTCTAAAACAGGGTTGTCAGCACGATCTATAAACGAAATTCACACATTTTTCCCGGTTTTCCCGGCTAAAAAGTACGGAATTCCCGGCGTCTATTATACTTATAAGAACGGCACAACACAAGTTACACTTATCAGTAAATTAAAAAAAAGCAAGCCAAATTGCCCAAGGGACTACGTAAGCCCCGACCGATGAAACGGTGAACACTTCGTGACACATTATTAATTAGTGACGCACTGATGGTCGGGCGGGTAAGGGGTAGCGCGGTGGGTCATTATGGGTGCCATTTTGATAACATCCACTCATAATACTATATTTGGCTAATAATTTGTTCAGAATTATCAGAGATTATACTCTATTAAACTCTATTAGGTTATACTCTATTAGGTTAAACTCAGGCAGTCAGCAAACTAGTACAGTAGGCTAGACTAGTCATTTGATCAGTTTCAAACTCAAATAAAGGCCACTCTTCTTACTTGTGTGTAATAATTGTTTAATAATGCTTATAAAAGGTTACTATAAGGTTGTATTACAGTGACATATGTCACTGCCACAAAAACTATTCTCTAATGTGAATGAATGAACTGAGTGTTTATTTAGTGTGAAGCCCCGCCCACCGTCTAACGGGACATGGGGTAGGAAAAGAGTAAGTTTGCTCTAAAGCCTGGTTCATATGCCCTCCCTTACCCTTGGCGTCAGTCGCTTGCAGATTTCCATTACACAAACGTTTCTGAGTGTTAATTATTTTAAAACACTGCAAATGTTTGAATTTGACTGTGATGAGGTCTAATAAAGTTTCCTCTAATTTATAAATAGGCTTTGGCCTACAAGTATTAATCTAAGTCATTTGACAGTTTTTGTATTTATTTTTAAAAGCAATTGCAGTTATACTTTTAAAAAACTACATACATCTTGACCTATAAATACTTTTTGTAAGGAGAGTCTTTTCTCTATAAGAAGTAAAATCGATCGTGGTCAAGGAATGACTGTGTTAAAACAGCACACTGTCAATTTTTACAAAAGTATTTTGACTGAAACCTGGTATTTTTTAAAGAGTTGTAGAATAAGTCGACGTCTGTGGAGTAAAGTATGGCAATAGATAAGTTTTACTTTTAGCCTACAATAAAGATTATGTTTAGGGACTGGAATCTCCAAAAGAGTGCTTTTATAAAACATGCCATAGTTTTATTTAGTAACAAAAGTGTTTGACTATGTTCCCGATGATACCAAGAGCATAGGTTCGGCAGAGTGGATTCACTGTGAACCGGCCTGCCTGGCCCTTATGCACGACGTCACTATAACTTCCGTGTAGGGGTGTCAAAAATGGATCGTAACAATCGATGTTTTGAACCTGTCTGTAACTAACCTAGTTTTTTTATACTTAATTACTCATTATGCATAAACGAACACGTACTACATATCGGATCTCGAATCACGATAAATTATCGATACCCTTCCCACCCACAATAAGCAAAGCACATAAAACGATGTCTAGCAATCGTCATTTGCTCCATTGAAACACGAAAGTCGATTGGCTGACATGGTAGTGCATTGTCGCTTCCTGACCAATGAGAACTGTTGTTACATACTTTTATTGTCAACATTCACCATTCGTTATAACATTACAAAATCTACATGGACTAAGGCTTATGATATTTTTCAATAAATGCATTGTGTCATATAGGCTAGGCATATTAGGAATATAAGTGGCAGTTAGCGGAAAGTTTAGGTACAGTCCTAATCATCACTTTTCTTTATGTTTTTTGGGTCGCTGAACACGAATATGAGGTTTGCTGACAGATATTTTGCCCGGAACATTGGTTATTTTGTGAAAAACCTTAAAATTTGGGCACTTTTTTTGGTTTTTCGGGCAAATCTCGGTAAGTATGGGTTTTTGAGAAAATCCTGCTTTCTAAAATTAAAGATGACAAAATTTACTACAAGTTTCCTATATAATGTTTGTTTCTACGACGAACCGTTTTGCCACTAGAGCACACTAAAAAAGGCTAGAAGTACAAACAATTAAAAACATTGCTAAATGCTGCCGTTTTACATTAGGTTTCCATAGAAACAACCCATGTTACGATAATTTTAACTATTTATTCATGATAACAAACTGAAACACACTTAAAAATACCCCCGCCACAGCAAACCTGCAGACTAAGTGAATTTCCATTTCCCTAATTGGATTTACACTAAAATGTCTCCTTAGAAATATCACATTTATTAACTATTTAAATAAAAGTTTAACGAGTACCTAGGTTTGCTGCAACAGGGAGGGTAAAAAGGTGATTTTTGTAAAATGTAATAATTTGGTACATGAAATTTGATCAAAATATGTTCAAAAACAAGCAAACTACAACAGTTTACTTAGTCGCAATAAGAATAACGAGCTTTTTAAATTTACAGATTTTTGGAATTTTCTCCGTAACCATTAGGCGCATAACAACGCTTTAACATACTAAATTATTTGTTTTTTTAAGCTCTACAAAATGATATGGAAATCGCTAAATTTTAAGTTTATAGGGTCAAAAATAGGAAAAACTAATTTTTACCCTATAAAACCCCCCATAAATCCACTCCCATAGTCCGATCATGCTGGGCAAAACAAAAAATGAAAATAAACCCTAACCGTTTTACAAAGGTTTTACATTGGGTTTCCATGGAAACAACCCATGTCACGATAATTAGAACTATTTATTCATGATAATGAACTGAAACACACTTGATAAATCTATGCCAAGATGTATGACTGACTGCTGGAACATTCCCCGTTCCCACAAAACCCCCATTTATTTTCTCAGCACAGGGATGTTGCTGGGCACAGGGTTGACTGCTGTAGTGATTGAAAAAAAAGGATGAAATACATTAAAAGAGTTGTAGATAACTTTTAACTTTGGTAACGTCAAATTCAGATGAGTAGACCGTGTCTACGTCTATTCGAACGAGTTCGCGAACCAGCATGATTGGACTATATGAACAGAGATTTATGGGGGGTTTTATGGGGTAAAAATTGATTTTTGCTATTTTTGACCATAAAAAACTTAAAATTTAGCGATTTATTTCCATACCGTTTTGTAGAGCTTAAAAAACAAATAACTATATTAATAAGTATATTAAAGCGTTGTTATGCGCCTAATGGTTACGGAGAAAATTCTAAAAATCTGTAAATTTACAATGCCCATGTTATTCTTATCAAATTTGGACAATGCATTCATTTCATACCAAATTTTTACATTTTACAAAAAAACAACTTTTACCCTCCCTGTTGCAGCAAACCTAAGTACTGGTTAAACTTTTATTTAAATAGGGTATAAATCTGATATTTCTAAGGAGACATTTTAGTGTAAATCCAATTAGGGAAATGGAAATTCACTTAGTCTGCAGGTTTGCTGTGGCGGGGGTATTTTTAAGTGTGTTTCAGTTTGTTATCATGAATAAATAGTTAAAATTATCGTAACATGGGTTGTTTCTATGGAAACCTAATGTAAAACGGCAGCATTTAGCAATGTTTTTAATTGTTTGTACTTCTAGCCTTTTTTAGTGTGCTCTAGTGGCAAAACGGTTCGTCGTAGAAACAAACATTATATAGGAAACTTGTAGTAAATTTTGTCATCTTTAATTTTAGAAAGCAGGATTTTCTCAAAAACCCATACTTACCGAGATTTGCCCGAAAACCCAAAAAAAGTGCCCAAATTTTAAGGTTTTTCACAAAATAACCAATGTTCCGGCCAAAATATCTGTCAGCAAACCTCATATTCGTGTTCAGCGACCCAGAAAACATAAAGAAAAGTGATGATTAGGACTGTACCTAAACTTTCTGCTAACTTTCCTAATATGCCTAGACTAATAGTAGCACTTAAAACTTCACTAAACTCTTTAATCAGGTAGATAGTACAGATAAATATGGACCTACTTTTTGGCGCAATATAAAGCAAGCCTAAACATACGACGATGACGATGTTAAAGTTTAATGGTTGAATATTGCAGGGAGGAAACTGAACATTTCGACGTGTTTAGGTTATTTATTTTGTACTAAAAATAAAAATAATACATCTAAATGTCTGACTTATTGATACAGACATTGTTTAGTATAATTAATTTCTTGTTGGCAGGATATTCGCGCGCCGGTTGTCTCATGAGTTGAGTCTGACATCTTGAAATGTAGATTGTGTTGTGCAATGAGCTGAAGCTAAACAATGTCACCGGCACCGTCGCTGTTTTGAACTAGATTTTCTATGTTGGCTATGAAAATTGTTAACTGTGATTACAAAACTAATCGTGATTACAAAACTAATCGTGATTACAAAACTAATACTGTAGCTATAAAGTTAATAAATGTTAAAAAAAATATTTATCCCTGTCGAGTGTCCGGTGTTATCGGAATCGACTTTTGACAATCGAGTCTTGGTACCGAACCGATACCAATGTCCAAGTGGTAACCAATGGATGGTGGTATCGATGACGATATTAGATACATCCCTTTTTAGAATCAAATTGAAATTTCAATACATCGCACTCGCTGCACACCACTACCTATCACTATCACCATCACCCAGTGTCAGCTGTCGCTGTCAGTGAAATGGATGACGCAAGCGATGCCTAGGTTGCCGATTATTATTAGGCCTAGTATGTCAATATTGAAAGGGGTTAAGGGATTAAATAAAACTCAAACA